AGCTATGTAATTCCATCTGCCCTCCCTTATCCCTTGTGCTATTTGGTCATATATTTTATATCTGCATACATCACAAGTTCCACAAAACAATCTTTTATTACTTACATTAGCAATTTTTCACATTTACCCATATACTTATTTCCTGTAAATATTTTCTTCTTGTAGGTCTGAGCTTCCGTCTGATCTTATTACCCTTCAGCCTGAAAAATTTCCTTTGTCAGTTTACTGTAGTGAAGGCCTACATGAATTCTCTCAGATTTTGTATATCCAAAAATGTTTTTATTTTACCATCAGTTTTGAAGGATATTTTTGCTCATTTGGAATTCTGGTTTGATAGTTCTTTATTTTTCTCTTTTGGCCTTTTAGCACTTAAAAGATGTTTTTACATTGTATTGTAGCCTCTGTGTTTATGATGGGAATGCTTTAGTTAATTGTATTCTGTTCCCCTACATGTAATATGTCATTTTTCTCTGGCTACCTTCAAGATTTTCTCTTTATCTTTAGTTTTCCACTATGTCCCAAGGTGTCGTTTTATTTGTATTTATCCTGCTTAGGGTTTGCTTAGCCTCTTGGATTTGTAATTTAGTGTTTTCACCAAGTTTGGGAGGTTTTCAGCTATTATTTCTTCAAATTTTGGGGTGGTGGTGGTTATTTTCTTTCTCCTCTCCTCTGGTACTCTAATGCATGTGTATTAGACTGCTTGATCTTATCCCATAATTCACCAAGATGCCATTCATTGTTTTTATTCTGTCCTTATTCTATCTTTCATGTTGAATAAATTCTTACTGATCTAAGTTTAAGTTTACTGATCCTTTATTTTGTTATTTCTACTCTTCATTTAACACCATCTCGTGAATTTTTCATTTCAAATATTAATCTTTTCAGTTCCAGAATTTTCATACAGTTCTACTTAATAGTTTCCATTTCCCAGCTGAGATTTCCCTTCTTTTCAGTCATGAGGACCATGTTTTTCTTTATATTCCTGGACATAACGGCTGCTTTAAAAATCTTAACTGAAAATTCCAATATCTAGGTCACCCTAGGGTCTATTACACTGGCTACATTTTCTCTTGACTGTGGATCACATTTTCCTATTCACATATCCCTTAATTTTTAATTAGATATGAACATTGTGGATGCTATTTTATAGAAATTACAGACTGTTTTCTTCCTTAAGCAGTATTGATTTTTTTGTTCTATCGGGCAATTAAATTTTTAGCTGATTTAGCTTGAACTTGTGGATGCTTTGTGTTACACTTTGTTAGGGAGGTTCTGTGTTGGTTTTGCCTTTTTTTTTTTATTATGACTCCTTTACTCTGAAAGCATAGCTCCTCTGCTATTTTGACAGGAAACCTGAGGTGTTTACCAAGCCCCTCTAACTTAGGTGGGATTCAAACTCCAAACTCTATGGTCAGTTACCTATAGGCAGTAGGCAGAAGTTGAAATCTCTGCTCAGCCTTTTCAGTTTCTAGTTATTGTTTTCCACTGGCCTCCATTGGCATATTCCCCACAGATATGTAGTTTAGCGATTAAAGATTGATGGGAATTTATATACAGAACCAGAGGTTCTCTTCTCTATGGCTGCCTCCTTTCTGGGATTTATTCCCTTAATTCCCAGCCACTCTGGCAGCCCTGAACTTCACCCTTTGCCACCTCAGGCCATTACACCTGTGGATTTCTCGCTGAGTTCTAGCTGTTCTTCATGGACTGGGTGTGTTCTCAGGGCAGAAGCTATATAAATGCAGTTCTCACCCAGTCCAGTGCCCTTCTTTCCAGGATCAAATTTCCTACATTTTCTGCCTTCTTGTAGTTAGAATACAAATAGTTTTTTTTTTTTTAAGTATTTTCTACAGAGTTTATAATAGCTATCTGCAGAAGAGTTAGCCCAATATAAGCTCTTCCATCATTAACATGAACATAACTGGAACTCTGTCACAGATATTTTATGTTTTCACATGTGTGTACGTGTAAAGATTAAATTCTTTCTTTCATCTTCCTGAATATTCATGGGATCATTAAATAATACACCCTGAAGGGATCCTTAGGTGTTGTCCAGACTACTCCTTCCTACCAGGCAGTAACTGTCTAAAACCAATCATAATTAATCTCTTGTTTGTAAAGGAGGTCAGGGAGGAAAGATGCTTCTTTAGGAAATAAGTTCTTCTGTCTGGAGACTCCCAACTTTATACTACAATTTAAGCCAATATAATGGCTTTAAACAACTCAGGGTCGTAGAGTTATATAGACAGAGGAATGTATAGGCATTGCTGAAGACAGGTCTGTCCCACCGTGCCATGAATATAAAAGAGGTCCCTTTCCCAGTGCCTGTGTTTATTATCTCCCGTCTTCTTTGCTCTGTTTCACCTCTTTAGCTCTTGTGGAGCCCATACTTTTTCGTCTACTTTACTTTGGCTCTCTCTCCTTGTTCCATTTTCTGAAATTTGTATATCTTTGGTACTGTTTACCTGGCTTCTGAAACATTCTGATTGTCTCTGACCCTTCATGTTACAGGCCGAACTGTTTTCCCCGCCAAATTCATATGTTGAAGTCTTAACCTCCAGCACCTCCAAAGGTGACCTTATTTGGAGACAGGGTCTTTGCAGAAGTAACTCAAGTTAAAAGGAGGTCATTAGGGTGGGGCCTAATACAACATGGCTGCTGTCCTTATAAAAAGGGACACAGAGACAAATACGCACAGAGTGAAGATGAGGTGAAGACACGTAGGGAGAAGACAACCATCTACAAGCCAAGGAGGGAGCCCTGGGACACATCCTTCCCTCACATCCCTCAGAAGGAACCAACTCAGCCAACACCTTGATCTGGGACTTCCAGCCTCCAGACTTGTGAGAAAATACATGTCTGTTGCTTACACACTAGCTCGTTTGTGGTACTTTGTCACGGAAGCCCTACTAAACTACATTTATCACTTAACAAATGCTCCAATCCCAGCTTTCCTACTTGATTCGGACTCATGGCTTTGCTTTGTCTCGAGATCCACACCTCTTGGTATAGAAAATGGCCAAGAATTAGAAGTCTTATGTCTTAATTTGTCACTGAAGTTGAATGACCTTTCTGATCCTCAGATTCCTTATCTGTAACACAGGGATGTTGTCCCTGCCCTACCTACCTAAAAAAGCTCAAATGAGGTACTACACATAAGAATGTAAAATGTGACACAAATCTAAGGCATCCAGAGTCTCACTCTCTATTCACAACATGCAGCACCTCGTGCCTAATTATAACAGAACGACTGCTAGAGGTCTCTGAGAGGTTTCAAGTTCAAAATGCTCCACTTCTAAAAGAGATGCTTGCAATCTATTATTTCTAGTTTAAGAGGCAGGACAGAGGAGGCAGATGACAAAGGAACTGCTTTGCTGAGAGAGGCAGGAATGTAGGGTGGTGCTCCAAGCTTCCACTATTCTTACATCTCCAGAGGGTTTAAAGGTAATTCTTCAGACTGCTTATTTATTTTTATACATGTTACAAGAAATGAGGTATTGAGTAATGAAAACCAATTCTTTTAGGAAATGGACTTTTTAGAAATACATAAGGAAAGGGAAACTTTAATGGCACATCAAACTGCCTTAACAAAACTGATGCCTACCGAATGTGATTTTAAAATACGTAAAATTAAATGCAGGACGCTAGCAACTTTCCAACATATTTTGTTTTTTCCCTTAGTCTTTAAAATAATTTTTGTTGTTGAGAATTTGAAAAATTGTTATTTCTACAATAATTAACACTTTTATAAAATAATCTATAAAAATATAACTTACTCTTAAACAGCTTACATACTAGTTGCATAAATTCTTATGCAGTTTCAAAGGTTACTCAAAAGAGCCGAATTTTTCAATGATTCTACCCTTTCAGTTCTCTATAATGCCTCCAGATGGCATTAAAACCCTTTTCCCATTATATTTTGCAGCACACACAAAAAATTAAAAATTAGTAATAATTTATCCATTTAAGACTAGTCATATTCATTATATAATCAGAAACCATGACAACTGAACTCTTCAGAATTTTTAGGGTATCTTAAGATACACAAATATATAATTATATCTGTTATGAAATAATATATAGCTATCCCGATTGGCCAAAGGATTTTTCTAGACTGAGAAACAGATCTCGGACAAAATAAGATACCCATTATTATATCACAAACTGTGATTTCTAATCAATAGCACTTCAAAAGTGCTTAGTAGTAAGAGTACTATCCACATACAGATAAATTCACAAACCCTGTCTTATAAGAAGACACATACTCCTCAGATGTGATAAGAACAAAGCTTTTAAAGGAACAAACCTGTTACTGGATTCCCATGGAGCTAAAATAAAATTACTTTTCAGTTCATAAATTATTATATTTAAATGCTGGTATATCATTTGGCATTAAATTAATAATTAAAAACTTATTTGGGAATATTGAGAGGAAAAAGAAAAAAGCAGTGTGAGAAATAACACGTTTTGTAAGAGCTTTTCCTTGTCTTTCAGAAACTACTTTTGTTAATTCAAAAACAATAAACATACTCTTGAGATTCCAGAGATATCTATAATTGTATTTTTCATATAATTCAAAGGTGAGGTCTCAGATGGCAGGCTTCTGAAAGGAACTTGTATTCATTCATAGGTGTGTGAGACAGAATATCTAGTGCGAAAAGTTCTGCAATTCTTAAGACAGTGTTGAAAGTCTCCAACCAAATTCTAAAGGGCTTACCTCCTTTCCCCCTCCAGTATACATCCTTAAATCTCATTACATTTCTACTATAAAAAGGAGCATTTGCATTTTTCAAGATTCCTTTTACTAGGCTAAAGCATACACACAAAACCCTCAAAATGCATCTGCACTCAAAGCATTTAAAAAGACATTATCATGAGAAAAGAGAACCATGGGCTTCCTTCCATTATTGTTATTACTATTACAAGATACTTGCACTATCTCATTTTATAAGGCATATTAAAGAACAGTCACCTCTGATAGAAACACGAAAGAGACTTACGATGTATTCGACGTGCCATTGTCTGGACTCTCTGGCTCCGCATCACCTTTCTCTTAAAAAGGAAGCAGAAAAAAATACCGACATGTGAATCTTACAGTCTTCAAGATTTAAGAGAGATTAAATATATTTCCATGCTCCTATTAACAATCTTTCAAAATGTGTAGCAGGAGGCTTTTAAAGTATCTTTTATTATCTGAGAACCGGATTTGCAAAATAATTTCTTCTTTGCAATGCAATTGCCCAGGCACAGATCTGTGAGTAGGTACTAAGGAGCTATTTGCAAACAACCAGAGGCTTGGAGTGGAGACCTTGCCAGAAGATGAATATCTTACAGATGGAACATGTTTCCTTTTACTTCACTTTACAGAAAATGTAAGGAAATAAACCCATTAGCATTCTATATCCAAGGCATTTTGAACTTTGATCCCTTCTGCTAACACAAGCCAAACCAGGCAGGGCTGAATCAGAACTTGGAAGAGAGAATTTTACAAAATGCTGAGGTTGCACCATAGGTCATGAGATCCCCTCCAAATTATACCCCATGGAGTGCCTTGGTGGCAGTTTTTGGGGCCCCCAAGTTAAAGCAGAGTTAAGATGTAAACCAGAAATCCTTCCTGAACACCTGAAAGGCTAGTTAAAGAAATGTTGCTGTGGGCTGTGGTCACCGGAGGATTTAACAAGTTTTAGTTAGGGGAGCCTGGGACCAGTTCACTTTTTGCAGTTTTCGAGGGCAAATTCCTCTTGCAATAAGTGTAATATAATTCCTAATCCTCTAGCCAATCAGTGGTTTGCACCATGCAGCCTCATTTTGTAAGGAGCTTCTCTGTTTCTCTGAAGCTTGGGGATGGAAGGAGAAGGGCCATTCATGACTAGCTGTGGCTGCTGATGGTGTACAGCGCCAATAAACCCCAGAGAAGGTTGTGAGCTGCGAGAAATGGGCCTGGCAGTGGCAATCTGCTTTGCTGTGCTCTTTCAAGTCAGGCCTGGACGTCTCTGGAACCCCTTGGCTTATTGTACCAAACCCCTTTTGTCAGCTGTCGACATTAGCTTGTGGTCACCTAGTCTCAGGAATGACTCCCTCAATCACACAATGAACACATCCCAAAGATACTGTCCAAACTGAACGCAAAAGTTAACTTCACATGTTCATCCATTCTTCTTATAAAAATAAACAGTTGTGAGAAAAAGAAGACACAGTTATTTACAGTTCATGCATCTATCTCAGACACAACTCTGTGCTGTGTGTCTGCACACTGCCAGAACTACCACAGGGGACAGCCACTTTGTCAAAAAACCAATCATATTAGGGGAAAAAACAAAAAAAGCCACAAAATCTATTTTAACTGCCTTAATAACAAACACTGCCTAGAGAGGGCCCCAAAACATATGCAACCATGTGAAATAAAGGCAAAGGCAGCCAGTTAATACACTTGCTCACTCTTTTACATGATAGTTTGTCTTCCAGGCCAGGTCTGTGGCGAACTTGTTTAGGAGACATGCAAGGCCCGGTAAACTGGCTTCGCTGCTGGAAAATAATTTAGTACTTTCCAGAATCATTTTTCCACTAAGCAACTACAATTCCTGCCATAACCCCAAAATAGAGAGTTATAACACCTGCATTAGGTAAGTCGAAACTAAGGAGAGGTTTAATTTTTCTCAAATATACTGATCCCCTTTTTTCTCCTTTAATTTGGTGACACTGGTTACCTTCCCCAGTCTACGGCCTCCAGTAGTCACCATGTCCTGTCATAATCAAGCATGTAAAACGGCAGGCCCCACAGCAGCAGGCAACAGTCAGCATTTCCAAACGATTTATGTCAGAAAACAGGAAATCGAAAATATAAACGAAGACTTCGTTTGGATGTTTGAATAAACATGTTTTACCTTGACCAATAATGCAGCCTGTGTCATGGGCTGGCTTCAGCACGGGGACAAAGCTGCAGCCGATTATCTCTACTCTTAGCAGCATTTATGTCGTGGCAACAGGGAAAACAGAATCGGGTTTGGCAAATAGGAAGGATGCAGTGGGGCCAGGCAGGACACTGGTGAACAGCCCGAGAGTGAGCCTGCTCAGCAACTCCGGTGCTGATAATGAATTAACCTTTCTGGGGAAAAGTAAGCTCAGGATTGACAATAGGGATTAAAACTATTATTGCCCTTCAGAAAGAATAAAACACAAAATTCCCCGCAACATCTTAAAACGTTAGGTGATGCAATGTCTGAAGTTAACTTGAAATGTTTAAGTGCATAAGCCATTGGGAATCACAGGTCACTTTATCAGGACTACAGGGAGCATGATGAATGTGACCCAGAACATTCTCAGTAAGCGATTTTTTTAGTTGGATGCTTAGGAGATGTCTCCCTGCAGCCCCCCAATGGGACTGTTTGGGGTCATCCTGCTTATGACAGCTGTATTCGTGATGGATACTACACTAGTCTCTTTAGGAGAGAACCTGAATTGACCATTAATAAGTTGGACATGACAGATTGGCTGGGGTGCAGTGTGTTCTTTTTGCATGTGGAAATACAATTACAGAGAGGAAAAGGTAAAAAAAAAAAAGCCACAAGAAGAAGTTTATATATGTGTGTGTATGTGCAAAGGTATATGTATATATATGTAATGAGTATTATACATGTATTTTCAATTTGATGTTCCATATTCATCTGCCTGTGCCTTCTGCAGTGCCTAACATACACTAGGTGCTCAATATATGTCTCCTGTTCTGATTATCTGTCACTAATACAGAACCCCCTTCTGGAGTGGGAAAAGGGGTTTACAGTCCACTCACCACTGAGATGGAATATACAGTATAAAATATGAAACAGCTGTTGGCCCCAATAGGCCACTTAAAAAAAATACAATAGTTACCTTTCTAATTCAATAAATGTACTGAGGACCAGTATCTTGGGTACTCTGATAAGTATAAAGATAAATAATATGTAATTCATATCCTTTAAATACTTAAACTGACTGTACTGCTGGAGTCAACAGCATTAGGATATGGACTAAATAATTCTTTTTAAAGGGAATCAAAATAAACCTGCATCACACTGAACTCTGCTGCAGAGGAAAGTTTTGCCATACTGCAATTTCTCCATGTAATTGTATTAAAAGTAATCCAAAAAAAAAAAAAAAAACTTGAAAAGGAAATGACTTTTCCTGCTTTTGTTTTTAATTCAGTTAGTCCTTTAATCATTACTCTAGGTAATATATTTAATACTTAGGTTTTTCTTTCTCGATGTATCAACTTTAGGCAGTGCCTAATGATTTCTCATATGAAAGAAACAAGGTATTTAATAGACTTAGACTACCACTTCCCCTTCCCTTACAATTTTTATGAATTCTGTTATTGCTTTTAATGCCTCTAGTGGGTATTTGTAACTTTGAATATATCTAAATCTTCTATTTCTTGATTAATCAACTTCTGACAGTATCTTTCTTTTCACACTATGTGAAGTGAGGAAACTGACCCATTTACCTTTCCTCCCACCTTTACCCCCTCACACACAGAAACACACTCACCTTTGTACAGTTATACCTGTCCTTTTTTACGTTGCCAAAATTTAAAATATTTGTATTCTGTAAGTATTAATGAGTCATCTTCATTAATATTAATTTAGTTAATAATTTAATTTTTGGACCTACCTATAAGTCAATTAGAAAAATTATAAACAAATAATGAAAATTTACAATATTGCAACAATATCAATGTTAGTCACTAAAGAACAAAGTAGTCTGAGCGGATGTATACAGAAGAAAATGTCACTAAAGAGAAGTAAGAGCAAATGTTCCTGACGTTTATGTCAAATGGATTCTCATTCTTACATTCCATCTTGCCGCAGCTTAGTTTGTTTCAAGTAAAGGCTACGCTTTTCCTAAAAAAAACCCTGTTAAATAGGGCATGGTTTTAGTGTACATAAAGATGTTTATATGAAAATGTATATGGATAGTTTTAAAACATTAAAGTGAATTAACTGTGAAAACTCCTTCCAGGCCAGGAATGAAACATTGCCAAAAAATAACCCAGAACGTCCCTGAGTGTCTCCCCAGCTTGCATCCTCTTTCAGCCCTCGCCACCAGCTACTAGGAATGGGGAATTTTGTGCTAATCATTCTCTTTTCTGGACAGTTTTTTTACCATCCGTGTATGCATTAATAAATAAACTATTCTTTGGTAGTTCTTGTTTTTAAACTTTAATGGAGCCATACTGCAGGTATTCTTTTGAGATTCACTTCTGTCACCCAATGTTATGATTTTTAAACTCAGCCATCATGATGCGCGTAGCTTTGGCTCGTTGGTCCTCAGGGCCATGCACTATCTCACTGCATAAATATACCATGAGTTTCCTGTTTGTTCTCCTCCTGATGGGCATTTAGATTGTTCTGTTATAAACAATGCAACTGCAAACACTCATGAACACCCTTCCTCCTGTACACATTAGGAGTTCTGGGCTTGCATATGTCCGACTTTATCAGGGAATACTAAACTGGTATCCAAATCAACACCCTCTCGGGTAGTATATGAGCCTTGATCTGCATCCACACTAACATTTGTTATGGTCAGACTTTTAAAATTTTTTCTAATTTAATAATGTAGAGTGAAATTTCTACACTGTGGTGTTTGCATTTCTCTGAGTACTAACGAGGTAGGTATTTTGTATTTGCTCTTCTGTGTCATATCTTAAAAAATATTTTTAGTATTATTTCTTTTTCTTATTCATAGAAGCATTTTATCATCTCAATACAAATCATATATATATACATATATACACATATATATCTCTCTTTCCAGTGTTAGCTTTTTTATTTTTCTTGCTATCTATGGATAACTATTAATATAAGTTCTTTTTTTTGTTGTTTTTTTGGAGACAGAGTCTTGCTCTGTTGCTCTGGCTAGAGTGCTGTGGTGTCAGCCTAGCTCACAGCAACCTCAAACTCCTGGGCTCAAGCAATCCTCCTGCCTCAGCCTCCCAAGTAGCTGGGAATACAGGCATGCGCCACCATGCTTAGCTAATTTTTTCTATATATTTTTAGTTGTCCAGCTAATTTATT